GGCTGGGGAGGTGGAGGGGAGGGGGGGGAGAGAGGGAGGGTCTTAGGGAGCTCGAGCGGTGTTTTTCCACCCTTTTTTTTTTTTAAGCATATTTTAATTACGCTGATTATTATAATTTATTATCACGGCTATTTCTATCCTTAGAATAGGCTGTAGGTAGCTCAATAAAATCGCTGGAGATGCAGAAGTAAGTTTTCCAAGATTTCTCCAAACCTTCCTGCAGGCGGGAATGCCCAGCTCTTCCTACAGCTGGGCTGCCGAAATTAGAAGTAAATCTCTATCTCTCTCTCTATCTGGGAGTGAGGGGGTCGGTGCTAATTAACAAGCTTCTAACATACGCTAATTATGTTGATCTCTGTGTGCACGTCCACTATACATCAACCCAGTTGGCATGCTTTATGGAGAATATACCATTTAGGCAATGACAGTGTGCGGGGGGATCGTGTAAAGTTTCCAACTGGAAAGTTAAAGCAGGCCTGCCTTAATGACTTTTGATATCGAATTAGCGATATATCAGGGAATAGAACAAATGAATTAAGTCAGTGTCTAATAAATATTCGAAAACCTCCTTTAATGTTCGGTTAAATATTTATTACGTAAGAGTGGGCATATTGAATATTTAATGCAATTGTTTATTGTCAATCAATGAATGTACTTTCAGCAATACTCTCATCATTTATTCTTCCAGCTGAATTAAAAAAAGATATTCTTATTAAAGTCATTTGTCTTCTACCCCGTGCCCCGGGAGCCTCCTCTTTCTCTGTCTTTCCGCATTTTCCTACGAAAAAACACTCCAGCTATATCGAAGTGCTGCCAGATATTTTCCGAGTTTTGCAAAGAATTATTCAAAATTATATGGGGAGAAAACAAATTTAAAAATCTCTTCTGCAAACCCTCTGGAAAGGTGCACCTGAAAGACGCGTAACTTCCGCGCTACCAGGTTCCGAGGGGTTCTCCCGCCGCCTTCAAATAGTCTCGAAGGAGCAAAATCGCCTGCAACAATTGGGCGCTAATCGGGTTTTCACCTGGATTAGAAATCGTCTGTTTGAGGTGGAAAATATTTCCCTGCCGAGCAGAGGCGGCCGCTTCCACCTATTTATGAAAATATTGCAGCTCATCCCCCATTTTTTTATCCTTTTCTTTACAGGATGCTACTTAAGCAATTTTTTCCCCTGAAATGATCCCTTTTAAAACGCCCAGCAAAAGGAAAAACAAATAAAAATATTGAATTATCCGCACATAAACCCGAATTGAGCTCCAGCGTGGGGTGTGTTGGGTGAGGGGCTGAATTTTCCCAACAAAAAAGGAAAGAGGGAGACGCTTTGGGAGAGGGGAATCTTGGCAAATCGAGTTGCAGTAAATTCGAACAGCAAGAAGGGGAAAAATAAGGCAAAGCTCAGCACTTCCAGCACTGAGCCTTTAGGAGCAGAAAAAAGAAAAAAAATCGACGGCTGCCGTTTTTTTGCTTTGCTCCCCGGAAAAAAAATATAAATAAAAATGCCTAAATTCACCCGAAAATAACCAATTCACCAAGAAGGAGCATCAGAAGGTCCCAGCCCAGCTCGGGGATGTCCCCCTTGGTGCTGAGCATCCCTGGGCACCTCCTTTTGCACTTCGCTCTCCTCTATTTAATTTTATTTAATGTCCAACACCCCACCCCCCCCCCAACCTGCTGTTTGCATTTTAATCAGGGGGGGCTCTGTTTAAATATTATTAAGATTCCACCCCCCCCCCCCCCCCCAACCTGCTGTTTGCATTTTAATCAGGGGGGGTTGCTTCATTCCTGGGCGAGACGTAGAGAAATGGGGAAGAAAACGCACCTCGAGCAAGAGGACGGAGCCTCTGCTAAAAATATAATTATCCTGCAATTCTGTAGCAACGTAAGATTTTTAGGAAAAAAAAATAAAATAAAAAAAAAGAAAAAAGGGCGGGGGGGTAAGTTTATTTTCATGGAAGAAAACAGCCTCGCAAGTCCGTACCTGGAAGCCGAGGAGAAAGCAAAGGATTTCAGCAAAAAAAAATACAGCGGGTATTTTTCAGTAGAGCTTTCCAAACTCTAATGTTTATCAGGCGCTGTGCCCGGGTTTTTATGGATTTATTAGGAAAATCTTGAAGAGAAACATGGCGGCTTCACACGATAAGGTTGAGGGCTCTTCCTCACTTGGAGCCTTCCTCATCCTCCCAACGCAACAACGCACCCCCGATCATTAATTCTCATTAATTCCCGGGGTCTCCCCCTCCCTGCCTTCTCCAGCTTTGTATTTTCTATTTAAAAAGCCGTTCTCATAAAACCCTTTTTATAAGGGATCGGGGCATGTGAGTCTCTCTCAATGCGTGTGTGTGGAGATAGAGATATACACACATATAAATATCTCTGTAATCCCAAAATGAGCTGTGTTTTCCTCTCTAATGCACCCTTTGGCTGATGAATATATATATATATATTTATGTACATACAGGGGCAAGAGCTCTGGCTGCAGAGATGGATCTCTTCAGGTTTGTAATCTGCCCTATTTTATGACTTGGACGTCGTTTTGGGCAAAACTTTTAATTAAAGTGTCAGCGATCTTTTAACTTGGCTTTTTATGGACCAATATTAATACTAACTACAAACTAATAATGTTAAGCTATTGTTTATGAGCGTAATTATTTTTTTCCCCCCAATTCCCTCCTGTTTGCAACCTGCGTGGAGGATCTTCTCCCTCCGATTAAAAGGGGGAAAGGCTCTAAAATACCCAATTTTTGGTATATCCATTCCAACCCAGATTCCATAGAGGCTGTAGGCGCTGAGTTTGGCATCCAGGGGAGGAATTAGAGCGTGGTGTTGAAAAAAACCTCCAACATCCAAAGAGCTTTTTAAACCCCAAACAAAGCACATACACCTCCAAATAAAAAAAAAAAAGAAAAAGAAAAAGCCCCCCCTAACACAACAGCAGACAACAAAAACCCGTGTGGCATAAAACCCGCCGTCTCTCCTCTAGGTGCGGGAATAATTTATTGCTCTTGGTAGGTAAATACATCTAAACCCAGCCCTGGTGTCGTTTTGGTTTTTAAACCCAGTTTAAAGGATGGGATTTGCCTGCTTCCTGCAAGGAAGGGGAGAAGAGGCAGCTGTGGAGTCACAGCACTTGAATTTGACCACCAAAGTGACCACCATAAAACGGAATGAGGGCTGGCGGCTCGCATTCCTTTTGGTTGCCCTTAAAAAAAAAAAAAAAAGGCAAATAACTTTAAGGCATAGCCTTAAAGCTTCCAGAGCTTTTCTACCTCTTCATTTATTTTTGAAACCTGCTTCATTTCCTAGAGAATGGGAGAAGGTTGGAGCGTGGGGAGGGGGGAAATTAAAGAAAAGCTGTGTTTGTGCTCTTTAAAGGAAGGAAAAAAAATGTCATGGGGAACTTGAGAAGGGGGGAGGAAAGGTCTGATTTTGTTGATTTTGATATGACTGTGTGTAGAAGATGAAAATGCCCCTTCTAGAAGATTTTTCCTCCCCTTTATTTGGTTATTTCTCAGGCAGAGGGGAGGAAAAGGAGGCGGCAGCACCGAGCTCATCGCTCCTTGTGCCTCTTCTGCAATTAAATATATATAAATGCCCAGCTTTATCCCGGCATCTTCACCCGAGACTTCTTTCTACCCAAATTGTCCAGTAGAAACAGCAAAATTCAAAGAAAAAATAATTCCAAGCCACCCCTGCCCAAGCCACCCCCCACTTTGCTCCGGACTCCGCACTCATTTGCCTGATATAATGCAAACACTTAACACATTTAACAGCGTTTTCAGCAGGCAAATAAGCTCAAGGCTTGTAAGATGTGTTTTGCGTTACTAACATGAATTTTAAGGGGATGTTAGAGGCATTTCGTGACCAAAAAACATCGTAGCAGTTGTACCAAAATCAAAACCTCGGAGTTGTGAAAGTTGGCTTTAGCTGATCTGTGTAAACATCTGAAGTTATATTTTGATTTAGGTTAATCCTGTACTTGAACTCTTCTCAATAAATCATTGCTCTTTTTTTTTTCTTTTTCTTTTTTTCGCCCATTGGGAGAGAAGATATTATTTTTTTCTCCTTTCCCCCCGAAGCTGGAGTTTTCTCAAGGCGATGTAAATTCGTTCACAACCTCCCAACTTCGGTGAAAACCTTTTCTGTAAATATTGCCATAAAGAAGCCTTTGTCCGAGCCCCTACAGTAGGGAAACTACTGAATCGGGGGGTTGTGTGGGAAAGGGGGGAAGGAAGAGGGGGGAGAAAAGAAAAAAAAATAGAAAAAAATAGATTTTATACCAACCTGGCTTACCACGTTACCCACTGGCTGTGCTTTCAAGGTACCTCAAGATGCATTATTTAGACCCTCAACTTTTCCCTATTTCAGCCAGTTGATCAGAGTTTGCTTTTTTTGGGGGGGGAGAGGGGGGAAATGAATTTTTCCAACCTGCGTGGCCAACCTGTGCTCACCAAAAAGCACTCCTTTAGCAGCTGCATCTCCCGGCAGCTGCAGAAAAGGGCTTTGCTTTTTGCTAAACGGGCTCCAAAACTTCTGATGTCTAATGACTTTGGCCTATCAGATGTTCTCAAAGTGATTTTTCCCTCCCTTCTACGACGGGACTACAATTACTTCCTCAGATGGACTTTAAAAAAAAAAAAAAAAGAAATAATCGAAGAGAAAAAGAGGAAACTCAGGCCAGTAAACAGATTACTAGACACCGCGTATGCGTACAGGAAATCTGAAGGGAGAGACAATAGCTACAAGTGGGAAGCGCTTGGAAAATATTATTGTCCCCAAATGGCAAAGATAAATTTAATTGGCTGGAGGCCAGGCTGCGAAAGAGAACTATATAAGCTGCGAACAATTCAAAGGGAGGGGGGAAAAAAATGACTTAGATCTCTCTAGACCTGAGCTGCAAGTTCAAAATCATGTGGACTTAATCAAGATAAAAGCGGATTGAACTATGCTTCCCAACCGCAGGCAAGGCTGGGACTGTCTGGGGTAAAAATGTGCGGCGGGTGTCGGTTCAAATAGAAGCGATGCCGAAGAGGCGTTAAGAAGAGTTGGGCGTAAGAATAACCAATATAAGTAACGCTTTGCCAATGGGCCTTCCCACTTAATTTTCTTTTCTCATCAACCACGGGGCTTTCCCCACCTTCTCCGCAGCTGAGGTCGGGAGAAGAGCGATGCCCTTGTGTTTCTATCCATTTATTTATTTTCTTTCCCCGCCCTGTCCAACTCAGTTGCAGGGATTTGCTGTGAAGCCTGCGAAAAAAAGCGAGGTTTAGGGGAATTCAAGTCAAACTTCCCAGCGTGTTCCACTCGCTCCGCTGCGAAATTCAGCCCAGAGGAGACAGGAAACCCAGAGGAGCTCGTTAACCAACACCTATTTCTATTCCACAGCCTCCCTCTCTTTTTCCCTCTCCTTCCAAACCTCTAAAAATACTTATTTAAACACAAAGGAAGACATATAAAACACACCCAAACCTTTAAAAAAAAATTCCTTTATTCGCCAGACATTCCCTCTTGATAACTTTAGCAGCGCCACTAAAATGTGCAAAACCGTGTAAAAAGTCGGAAATTGTGGCGGGGGAAAATGTGGTTTCTGTCGGGTAACTCATTTATTAGGAAAATAGCCCCGAAATGCAGAGTTCAGGATAGAAGGTGGGCGGCTAATCCCCCCCCAGCCTTATTAAAACCGCACACACGTTTGCATGCGCGGTATTTAATCCTTAAATACTCAGGAAATCATTTCCAAGTATTGCACTTTAAATCTTTGGCTCCCGCATGTCCCCTTTTTTATTTTTTTAAATTTTTTTAATTTTTTTTTTTCTCCACAGCAGCTAGCACCTAGATGTATTTCCCTCCGATAACCATTGATCAAAGGCGAATCTCAACAGTTTATGGGGATAAACTTCAATTATTCGCAGTTGAGGGCGCGACGGCGCTGGGCTCTCTCTTCCATCCCCGCATTAATCAGAAGAAAATGAAGCAAAATCCTTCAGCTGTTTCACGGGGTGACATTTTCCAAACGTCTTATGCAGCTTTTGGAAGATAAATGCTGCCGGCGGAGGAGCAGGAGGTGGAAAATGCCCGTGTCCACCCCTCTCCATCTACCTATGGAGCTAATGTATATACCTGCCTTTCCATATGCACTCCCGGCCCTTCGCCTATAAAATCTGCCCCCACATCCATCTCTTAGTGTCGGTGGGAGCGGGATTGGGGCACCAAAAAAATCTCTTTTAAAGAAGTTGCTTTCCTCTCTGCCCTCTGCGAGCAGCGCGGCTCCTTCACTCCCCTGCAGAATAAAAAAAAAATAAAATAAATTATATTCGCCTCTTTTTCTTCACCGAGGATGGGGGTTGAGTGTTTTGTTGGTGCCTTATTGGGTTGGAATGAATATATATGTAAATTAATGTAGCCGGAGATCTCCGTTAATAAGGTACTAGCTTTAAAATACCTCATGTATCGAGAGCAGATAAATTATGAATTAAAAACCTGTCCAATAATCGGACTCTCATCGAATCCCTCCTGTGTGATTTCTCTCTCTTTCTCTCTTTCTCTCTTTCTTTCTTTCTCTCTTTCTCTCTCTCTCTCTCTCTCTCTCTCTCTCTCTCTCTCTCTCTCTCTCTCTCTCTCTCTCTCTCTCTCTCTCTCTCTCTCTCTCTCTCTCTCTCTCTCTCTCTCTCTCTCTCTCTCTCTCTCTCTCTCTCTCTCTCTCTCTCTCTCTCTCTCTCTCTCTCTCTCTCTCTCTCTCTCTCTCTCTCTCTCTCTCTCTCTCTCTCTCTCTCTCTCTCTCTCTCTCTCTCTCTCTCTCTCTCTCTCTCTCTCTCTCTCTCTCTCTCTCTCTCTCTCTCTCTCTCTCTCTCTCTCTCTCTCTCTCTCTCTCTCTCTCTCTCTCTCTCTGTCTCTCTTTCTCTCTCTCTCTCTTTCTCTCTCTCTTTCTTTTCTTCTTTCTTTCTCTCTTTCTTTATCTTTTTCTTTCTCTCTTTCTCTCTCTCTCTCTCTCTCTTTCCCTCTTTTTTTTTTTTCCCTCTTTCTCTTTTTCTCTCTTCCTTTCTTCCTTGCAAAATTGTGAGTCCACAGAACGCGGAACTCTGAGCAGAAAAATCCGTGTTGTAGCCATCTCTGCTCTCTGATGGAATAATGCTAGGGATTTCTCTCCCGTAGGGCACAGATTTGCTTAAATAACTGTATCACTACCTCTTCGTGTCCAACGAAGTCAAGCACAAGCAAAATTGTCTTCTCCATTGCACTAATTCCCCTTCCATCCATCGCTGCCACCTCCCAGTACTCAACACAGAATTCCTTTTACCCCTTGAGCAGACTCTAAGGCAGAGGCCGAGAACCGGGGGGGGGGGGGAAT